TGCCAAGGCTTAAAGCAGCAACAACGCTACACATAAAAACTGATGATGGTGGAAAAATACACCGAAACGTATTTTGATTGATAAATAGAGACAATAAATGACTGAAACCCAGGAATGAATTTGATTTGGAATTGAAATACAGTCAGGAAAGTATATACAATGAATAGTTAATTATTTCCCTTGATTCCATTGAAAAACTATCAAATGCATTTGCAAGTGTAATATTACTTTTTTTCCCCAATAGTGTACATTGTTAGAGCGACCACCCTATATACTTTTGTTCGGCGGTTTAAAATTATATCTCTTCGCTCTGTAGAAGCCTGTTTAAAGCATGCATAGGATGCGCAGTTTTTCTTGCATTCGCACTTGTTTTTTCCCTACATTGACTTGATAGAACTGGAGCATGCAAAATGCTTTGCGGCAGTAAATCACTTTGAATAGCGCTGGCCTAGTTATTAATTTAAAGTAGAGTATTTCTTCGTATGCTCAGTGGCATGCATTGGCTTAGCATGGAAAGAGTCTCTAGATTTATATTCTACTATAATTCTTGATATTTTCAGAGAAGAAAAGGAGCCATTGAACCAACCGGTGGGCAAATCGGTAAGCGTGGAGTTCGATGGAAGGCAAGTCTACACCAAATCAGGCGAAATAATTGGCAAACATTCAGCTGTTTAATCAGCGGTGGCGGTGCTGAATTTATTTATTTGATGAAAAATGCGCTTTTGTTCGGAAAATGTAACTGCCAAGTTGTTGTTAATTAAATAGCCTAAATATGCTCAGAAACTGCAAAAGACACTGTTGTGCAATCACTAGTGAGCATACCGAAAATTAGACTCAACTGTGTCTGCATGACAATACACCTATAAGGTTAAAGAGTCAGTTGATAAAAGCCAACTAAGGAATGAACACAGTGAAAAAATTAATTTAAAAGAAACGAATTCATGTTAACAAAGCTTAAAGCATTAGTGTTTTGAATTATACTTATGTGCCAAATAGCTGCATTTTTTGTAATAATGTTGACAAAACTAATTGTAATTATTTTATATAAGGTGGGTGAAAATGTGCAAATATCAATGTTGTTGCCAAAAGTAGAGCGAAAGTAGCTACTTGACTAGAGCAAAACTTTCAACTCGGAGCAAACTCTCATTTACTGTTGTGTGCTTATATGTGAAGATGTAACATTTCAATCGATCATTAAAAATTGCCAGTCAAAAAATCATTTCCTATAGATAATAGATAGGGTACAAACCATTGGAAGCTTATCGTGGATATGTACTTTATGTTTTGCTCATTAATTACAGCTCTGGCAAAAACTATTTATTGTAGATTACCAAAATGTATTTTTAGTTTTAACGACTATTTTGTATTATATTAGTGTAGCTTGATGCGAAATGGCAAGTGATGAATGCTAGGGCGTGAGTGAACGGGGGTTTATCTAGCCCTAAGAGTATTCCAACGCGTTATAGCTAATAGAGCACTTCATTTTCTTAATATCATTCCAAACTCATCGACCCACAATTCAGTAGGCCTTTATCTACTTAACTACATGATAAGTTTGTTTTCCCACTACCAAAGGATCTACCTTTAAGTTAGTTAGTTATATTTAACGCGTAGATGTTTACAAATATTCATGACATAAATGGATTGTATGTAGCTTTTGATATTATTTAAATAAATATATTTGTCCAATTTGTTCGTGTTGATGTAAATGGCAGGAACTCCTCCAATATCGATGGGAGACATTAGTTAAAAAGCAATTTTATTGAGCGTCTTTTTACGTTAAGTATTTATTTTACATTAACTGATATTTTTTGCTTTACTAAATATCTTCATCAATCCACTTCTTCAGGTCGAACGGGGTGATCAAGTGGTATCACAGATTTTTGGTTTACGTCTCGAGATAATGCCTTCCTCATATCTAAAGTATTGAAAATTGAACACACACAATGGATACTGTTAGAAACTTTTTTTAATTCAATGCACACGAAATCAGCGCTACTAAATCAGATTAAAAACAATTCGTAATTTGTACGAGCATTTCAAATTTAAAATAAAACACCCTTTGCAACAAATTGTACATGCAGCTCTTCTGGTGTCGAGATAAAGAGACATTGAATCAACCAAAATTACAAAAAATAAATTCACTTCAAACAAGAACGCGATTTTGCATCGAAATTTTACTGTTTTTGCTGAGTATAATCGTAGTTAATAAATTGTTCGTCTTACCATAAGCATCCTCATCTGGATCGCCTGAATAATATTCCAAAACAGTGCGATATACGATATATCCAAGATTCGTATACATTTTGATCGCAACTTGATTGCTCACCCTCACAAAAAGATCCACAAAATAAGCACGTTTCCTGATGAAGAAAAATGGTTGAGATCAATGCGGAAATATTCAATCCTATGAGTTACTATGAATGTTCAAGAATGCCATTCTTGCTAAAATTGAACTTACTTTTCAGATACTTCTTCCAAATAATTCATGAGATTTGCTGCCAGGCCAAGTCGTCTATAATCCGGGGAAACAGTTAAAGCTGTAACATGTCCATGCCAATTGTCTCCTACTCCCTCTGCCTTCCCCATAACTACAAATTATAGTTTGGAATTTGTCTTGAAGTGCAGTTAAATTAACCCGCTTTACTTACTATATCCCATTATTTCCCCACTCGGGGACTCCGCAACTTGAAAGTATTCAGGCCAGTGAGCTAAATACTGCATGTAAAAAGACAACCCGTAGGTTTCAGTCAGAGGATCCAGGTTTCTGAAATGCATTAGATTTAGAGCACAACTTCCTGAATATCTGTTTCTCTATTTGTCTTACACATTATTAAACCGATACATATCGTCGCACGTAAAGGGTCGTAGTGTTGTCATTTTCAGAAAAGATTCCCACTATTACTGATAGTTTCAGGCCCAATACTGAAAGACTCAAACAAGCAAAAATAATAACACCAATTTTCTAACCTCAGAAAAATACCTTGCATTTGACACTCCGACTTGACAGTCCGAAACTTAACTTGCGCCTAGCGGTAGCCCAGATATTTTATATGCGAGGATCTAGGTGAAAAGGGCGCAGTTTGATAATTGACAGCGCCCTGAGGTATTTTTGTAAAACGAATTGAAGTGACATATTTAGGAAAATTGCGTTTTATCCATACCAAACAGAACTTCACTTAACATATTTCAATACGCTCGTTTAATTGGTTTTTGAAAATATAAATTTTCAAACTGCGCGCCAGACCTGTCAGGATCCTCGCATTTAAACAGATCTAGGCAACCGCTAGACGCGGGTTTTTTGACAGTGACAATATATTGAAATGTGCTTGAACGATTTATAACAGTCCATCAAGTTCGGATGAAACAGGACTAAGATTCCCATTTTCATACAAGGCAGGAAACTAACTACCACACTCGTTACAATGACCCGGTAAATAAGCCCCAGCTCTAGGGAGTACTTGGGGCTAACCTAGTTCTAACCTCACTTTGCTTTCAGGGCGAATATAGAACTGGGCAATGTTACCCCACACAACATTAAACAACTGAAAAAGCTCAACAGTGTAGTGTTCCCAGTGTCTTATAACGATAAGTTTTACAAGGACGTTTTGGAGGCTGGCGAATTAGCAAAATTGGCCTACTACAATGATATTGTGGTTGGGGCAGTTTGCTGTAGGATTGACACCAATGAGAAGTCCAGAAAACTCTATATCATGACCCTTGGATGTCTATATCCTTACAGGAGACTGGGAATCGGCACTCTGATGGTACAGCATATTTTAAATTATGTCGAAAATGATGGGGACTTTGATAACATATTCCTGTAAGTATCATTGAATGTATAACTTCGATCCTCCACAATATATTTCGCCAACATATAGTGATTTGCAATCGTTGTTGTAGACATGTTCAAGTGAATAATGAAGGCGCCATTGATTTCTACAAAAAATTCGGCTTTGAAATAGTTGAGACCAAGGAGCACTACTACAAAAGAATCGAACCAGCAGATGCTCATGTGCTTCAAAAGACAATAAGAAAGACCGGACGAATGAATGGTAGTTTAGAGTAGATCTGTTGGTTAGAATGAAGCACTGGTGTGATTATATTTCGTCAGGACATGCTTCCGTTTTTTATCATTGACAACAAATTGTTCTGTAGTCTCAAACCATCAAACAGAACTCCTTAGCTTCATTTGTACATACATTTCTTCAGTCGTTTTTCCAGTGGTCAAGTACGATTTTTTTTATTGTTGAAACGATCAAATTCATAATCGTTAATTTATTGCGTACTGTTAACAAACCTATTTAGATATGTATTTTTCACGATATACTGGAGTTTCTCAATTCATGTACTTTCAAAGAGCAAGCTGATGATGCAATATTGATTCATACGTTTTTCAGTATATTTCAGTTCGTTATATTCATCTTAGGGTGAGATAGGTTTTTTATTGATCAAGCATTGCGAAATAAAATGAAAATTCCCCAAGGTTCATCTTTTCTTACCTGACTAGATTGTTCTACTTCATAACATGAGCATTCCCTGAAAATCAAAATCAACTGTAGTTTTCTTAAAAAACGGAGTCAGTAACGCAACAATTTATTTCGAGTATGCATTTAGTTCTACAGAACATTAGCTGAGTCAACAGATTTCATTGGACACAATCATGACTTCTAACACCACCCCAACCTTCCTTGTATAAAAATACTATAATTTATACATATAGCGAGAATAAATACTTTTTCACTTCATTGTTGCTAATAACAATGACGACAACGATTTACTAAGTACACTGTAATAATATCGCTTAGTACTATTTAGGCTTAAACAGATCTTTGTCCAGTTGTAGGAGTTCTTTCATTCGTTGAACACATAGCTTAGAGCCTTCATGAGCATCTTTGGAAATCTGGAGCAAAAGCATTGTTCTGCCAAATAGTTCTTTGTAATCAGTACTGGCACTTACCAGCGAAAAATTCAAGAAACCATGAGGAAGACCTGGCAAAATATCCAGACTCACATCGTTTCCAACTGATTTTAGCCGTTTTGCAAACATAACGCAATCATCTAGACACGGGTCTAGTTCAACAGTCTTAAAGGAAACAGCATTGAACTACCAGATATCAGCTGCGCTTAAACTTACCAGAATTTTGGTTGGAGGAAATTTCTTCAAATCATCGTCAGAGGCGCAGTAAGGGCTCAAATAGGGGTCATTCGGCACTGGGAAGCAAAGTTCGTCCCATAAACTGTCTGGTTTATCCGATTCCAAAATCTTTTCGCTTGAACTCAACCCTCGCTCACCCAGCATTTTACTAAAATGTCCCTTAATTGTCGAAACAAAGCCAGACAGTCTAGTTTGGAACGAGTTGTCCAGAGTAGAAGAAGTGGAACTTGCCCCATTCGCTTGTGAGATTCTGGTTCCTTCAGTGTCAGTATCTGATTCTAAAGGAGATGTAAGGGGGGCAAATAATCAGTTAGTGTTTTTCTAATGCAGATAAATGTGTATGAGGCAAATAGTTTTCTCTTGAAGCTTTAGCAATGTGCAAGCCATTCTATCGTTTGCTTAGTTCTATGCTAAAAACAATTATTCAAGCTTGGTTGTCCCGCATGACTAAAGAAAATATAACATCATTACGCTGAACTAATAGGGCTTAAGGACAATAGAATAGTGAAAATAGCATGCATTTTCGAAAAACCTACTTGGTGTGGTTAACAATAGTGAAATTAAGATGTTTATTTTTCTTGCAATACCCTTGGATTTTGGCAATGAAATGCTTGAGCAAGCTAAAGTCGAACTTTGCCTAATTTACGAGAGAATCGTATTGGAAACAACCAAATTAGCACAGTACAGAATGGGCTTTAAAACACTTAACAGCCAATGAACTAAAAGAGCACAGAATTTGTCGGACACAGAAAAATCAGTCTCAAATCGTACCTCCTTTGTTCGGAACTTTATAGTGGTATGTACGTGAAAACAGAGACCCCAAGTAATCCCTACCTAGTACAAAGTTCTGTACTATATCGGCCATGTACTTCTGGCTCTTCTCGATTTCTGCCGAAGTGACATCTTTCTCATTCAGATCATCCATATGCGAGTTTAAGGAGCCATACGTGAGTGTGTCGGAGGCTTCAGATACTGGCGATTTGTGGGCCTGCAATTCAGCCAAATCCGATTCAGAGATTTCCTCGAAACTTTCCGTATCGGAGGGATACAACATTGCGGAATTGTTTGCCGCAAGGAGCTCTGGAGGGCACGCATAAGCTGCAACAGAAGAGAAATTTAGCATTTTTTTATAAAACGCATAAAAAGTATTTACCTTTCAAACATCGCATCAAGAACCCGAAAGGCAAGAGCGGGTCCATCATGCACAAAAGACGTGCAGGCGAAGGCGCAAATTTGACCAGAGTGGGAACATAAGCCGCGAAAACTCCGTGAGGAGTCGGAACTCCACTGTTAATACACTTTAATGTGGCCGCCAACAGAAGATTCGCTCCTGCTGAATCGCCCACGCCAATTATTCTTTCTCCTGAAACGGGATGGAAATCAGATCACAGTTTTGAACGTAAAATGACGCTCACTCACCATCGCTTCCTAAGAAATTGTGGTTCTTTAAAGCCCAGCAATAGGCGTAAAAAACTTCTTCTAGAGCTCTTGGAAAGGGCGCCTCCGGCGCCAAGCTGTAATCTATACTTAGAATGGGAATATCTAGCATTTTAGCCCAATCCCTCAAGTAAGGCTCGTGAGATTTGGACGATTGTGCCACAAACCCGCCGCCATGGCAGTGAATTATTAGGCCCTTTGCGGGTGGCTCCAATGGACTTTTGTTTTTGGTTCCCAACATTCCTTCCCTCACATGGTAGCTGATCAGCCGTACCTGCACTGGTTTGGGCCCTAAAGGTTATTTATTCAGTTTGAGCAGTTGCAAATTTAGAGCTCAAGCCAGTAATTTAAAAACGAGATTTGGATCGCTGTTATAAGAAAGGCCTGTTTTTCACAGTTGCGTTTTTGGCGAAATGTTCGCAATACAAAAGAACAGGCTTTTGTCCAGTGTTCCAACTCGCGCCATCAAACTGCATCATTTAGTTGCAAGCAATTAAATCTTACCAATATGTGCTGTAGGCACAGGAATTTCCACATCTTTGCCACCGATGTTTAAAACTAGAGGTTCGGGTGCGATAATTATCAGTTTGCTCACAGCAACGCTTGGGCAGACAACGGAGGGGAGCTGATTCATTAGCTCGCTCTCCGACAGAAACCAAAAGGATTTGCAGAAATCCACATCGGCGCTCTGAGATATATTCACTATTCGCTTAGCTCTTTGCTCTGGATCAGTAATATATTTGGTGGTGGTCATAAAGGAGTTGGTGGCTTTGGAGATTAGAGAACCTAAAAACAGAGAGACTTTTCAAGTTATCCATTTACGCACCGTTTGGACATACCTTGACTGTAGTAGGCTTCAGAAAAAATCGCCATCGATAAGGCAATAAATTGTAAGACGTTTTTCAGGGAGTCACAGAACTGAAATAAAGTCGCTTGCAGTCAAAGGGCGGATTTTATCGACTGGTAAACTATTTACTTGAAAGCCTAACGAGCGCCCATAGAAGCAATACTGATTAATATCCTGGCAAACTGAGATTAATTCTTCGAAAGGTCGGTCCTGCACAAAGAGATTCCCATCCTTGCTCCAAGAGAGTATTGTTTGCAAATTCTTGAAGCAGACCTCTAAGCTAGACAGTAGATGTGAACAGGATTCGATTTCTCTGAAACGTAAAAACACATTAAACTAATGGTGCAAAAAAATTGCAATCAACTAGTTGTGTGCTGAAAATGCCGCTGCTGTAAAAAAACGCTTCCTACTCACTTGGTTAAGACAGTCTTTCTAAACAGGAGACTACTCCTGCGCCACATAATCTTCTGGTTCAGATCTATGGCATATTTCAAAGCCAGCTGAAACACGCTAATGTAACTCCTGTATCCATTCCCAGGAGTGTCTTCATCAAAATCAAACTCCTTGACTCGCTTTTCGATCTCAATCAGTCTGGGGTAAAGGCCATCGATAGCATCAATGAGGGCCATAAACGAAATGTACAGCCGTTGACCATTCTCGCTGCTGTCGCTGGCGAAAAAGTCTGCATTGCTCGAGCAGAAGTCTTTCAAAACAGTAATATCATTGCTGATACTCGATTGGGGCCCACCGTCGTTGAGCTCTGGAGTAGATTGATGCGCGGTTTCTGTCATTGCAAAACTAGTTAACGACACTGCGGCATTTGCTGGACAATTGCACACTTTCACTTAATTAATGTAATTAACATTGTACGCTGCCATCGGAGAACCTACCAAGTATTTGCAATTTTTTAGACCTAAGTAACTGACAATAATCAATCTGACAGTCAAAACAAAACCTCAAGCTGCATTTGTGACGTCTGCAAATGAAACTGTTGAAAGTGTGCATTTAAAAGTTCTCCAAATGAACTTCGCATGCCATGCTTAAAATCTATGGTAGCTTTTCAGAATACTCTGCAAAACCATATCACGAACGTGATTGGTCACAATGTTAAAACAGTACTCTAAATTGGCTGGAGCTCACTAGAATAAAATCGACTCAGCATCATGCCTGTTCTAGTAAAGAATGCGGCGAATATAAATTTAATCTGCCCACAAACATTTCAAAATTTGAAGATTGAAGAACCAGCGCGATTCTTCGGGGGTTGTTTTGTGGTGTTGCCAAATCCGCTGTTGAAGTTCAAATCAAACGAGTGGCTCATCGCAGTAACGCCTGTCATGGATCCATCATTTAGATTCAACGACACTAACACAAACTAACCTAAAATTTT